CACCTGACAAGGCAGATGTAAGGATTTTACTGAAGGTGGCCGGCATAAACTCATCCTTTATATGTAATTCTCGCGCCAGATCACAGTTAAAAGGGGGTAGGGGTATCCATAGGAGGCCCCATTGGGAACTGTATTGAAAAAAAACCTATATGAAGCACATCTTAAACGTCATTTTATTCAGTTGTGTATCCACCATGGAGAGAGCTTCTACCCCCCCCCCCCCCCTCCGCTTGTAGAGGAGGAAGAAAAATCTCCCCTATTGAAGCGTTTGGTTGCTACTCAACGTTACTACAAGTTTGTCGAACACAAAAGTAGATTGATATATGCCTTATGGGATTGTTATGACCGTCTTGTGTTGAGTGCTCCCCCAGAACGGTTTTTTAAGTCATTTGGAGAAACGGTGAAAAGGTATGAGGAGTATTCATCTCAGGAGATCCAGACAGAGATTTGGCAGATGGAAAAATTAACCTTCCAACATCGGGATATGATTACAGCCTTTGAGTCTGGGCGGAGTGTCTATGGGCTCATAAAGTGATCTCTTCCCCCCCCACCCTTTCATCCCTCTCCCCCCAGGTGTGTCACAGGTGTATTTAAAGGTCGCCCACCGCCGCTCCTGGAACACTATACTACAGTTGTCGACACGCTCCTCTCAGCCACCCTCTCACCATGTCGCTGGCGAGTATCAAGACCATCGGTGACAATATCACTGACTCCCACACCTTTGGGGTGGGAGACGTGATTATCTACGACCTCCCAGCTGCCGTTGTGCGACCCTATGGGCTGGCTTCCATCACCTGGAAGACGTTCTCTTACGCCCGTGTGGAACGTGAAGGACTGGGTAATGCCAATAGGGCAATAATTCGTTGTCGGTCTACCCCAGGGGACATTGTTGTGAAGATAGCCCCACTCCCCTCCGACGGACAAGATCTCATAGAGGAGCCCGTCCTTTACTTCAGGCCCACTTTGGTGGGGTTGATTTCTGCATTCGGGGCAGGAGCCCCCTTCGAGTCAAACCCAATAGCCCAGGAACAAGTGCAGACTTCCGCCGACACACACTACGTCACTAACGTCACCCTGGATACCGCCAAGAACCGCAGGTACTGGCTCAAGATGTGCCTAACAAAGGTGGGCAATCTAATGGTGGGAACCCCAACCATGACTCGGCTAGTGGTACCCTACGGCTTAGGGGCTTCCCTCGACTGTATGGTCAACTGGCACAAGGACATTGGACCCATGCTGCTCTCTCTTCACAAGAACTGGCCAAACTCAACAAAGAGTTAGTCATCCTCAAACGACCTGCTGCTGTTACCCCAACAGTGGTGCCCCTCCCGTCCGACGACCCAAGTGCTGATAATCTTACTATAACGCTCGACACCGTGGTGGGAGAGGGTGGTACCACACCAAGAACCTCTTCTCGTTCTACACCTCCAGCACCACCAGCCACACCCAGGAAGAAGAAACTCTCTCAGGAATACGGCTCCAGCTCCACCGCCACCCCTCCACCACCCCCTACAGCATCAACCTCAGTCAAACGGAGGATTAGGATTGAGCCACTCCTCGACTTTGAAACGGAGGCGAATCGCCGTATCGACTCCATCCTCGATGGTGAGTCACAGGAAATATTCCTGTTATCCTCACCCCCCCCTCCCGAAAAAACAACGAAAGCTGTAACCACCACTCCAGTAAAGAAGTTGAGGTAGTGGCAGTGACAGTAGCTCCAGCGGAAGCAGCATTGGAGGTAGCAGCAGCCAGCAGCAGTAGTAGCGAGGGGGGTGTGGTTAATCACTATTCTTAAAAAAATGTGTGGGAATCTTCACCTGTTGTAGTTCTTTAAGTAGTTTAATAAAATAAAATATAAGTTATGTTGTTTATTTTCCCCCTCTTACAAAACCCCTCCCCTATATATTGTCCAATCGGTATATAAGGGGACAATGGGAGAAGAACATTACATATATCTTACCAGTCTCGATCAAGGAGATATTTACAACAACACGAGTACAGCTTTTACAAAAACAACCCCATCACTACATATAAACCCTTCCATTAAACATGAAGTGGCTTTAATCAACATACTCCTACTCAGGTGAATTAATGTCATCATCAAAGATGAGGGGGACTCTGGCAAAGATATCTATGCCACTTTTAAACGTGGAGCACTTTCTATGAGTCCAGAACACTTTAACCACCACCCCAGGGGAGAAGTAGAGGTAGTGCCACCGGCAACAGCAGTGACAGTGACAGTAGCCCCGGCAGGGGGGAGGGCAGCAGCAGCAGCAGCCGGCACCAGTAGTAGTAGCGAGGGGCTGTGGTTAATCAATATTATTAAAAAAAAATGCGAGGGAATCTTCACCTGTCGTAGTTCTTTAAGTAGTTTAATAAAATAATATATAAGTAATGTTGTTTATTTTCACCCTTCTTACGAAAACCCATCCCCTGTATATTGGCCATTCGATACATAACGGGACAATGGGGGAAGAACATTACATATATCTTACCAATCTCGATCAAGGAGATATTTACAACAACACGAGTTCAGCATTTACAAACACCATCCCAACACTACATTTAAACCCTTCCATTAAACATGAAGTGGCTTTAGTCAACATACTCCTTCCCAGGCAAATTAATGCCATCATAAAAAATGTGGACTCTGGCATAGATATCTATGCCACTTTTAAACGTGGAACTCTTTCTAAGAGTCCAGAACACTTAATATACACCTTCCACCCAAAAACAAACATATTATCAAGAAACATCAGATTCGTTACAGACGTGGTTAGTCGGCAAATAACCACCGACATGCAGCTTAGCTTTAGGGATGATTTCAAAATATACTTCTCAGATAAAGAACCAATCCTCACCTATGACCAACCTGTAGAGAGGGTATTACTAGCTTTAACTCTAACAGTGGAAGTACTGGCTCATTAAATTCTCTCAGCTTTCAATTTAAACACAGAATAGCTAATGTACTTGGTTTTGACAGCAGTCGCAAATACACCATTTATCGAGCAAAAACAGATGACATTACGTCAGCCTTCAAGACTGTGGCCTTATCGACCCAGACATTGACGAAGGTAGTGACTATTTACTCATTTATAGTGACGTCATCTAGCCTGAACGATACGGAGGGCAGATTGTAAATATCTTAGTTGCAATCAATTATCATGACTCATATTCTAGAGGGGCTCACCTTCTAGTATACAAAACATTAAACACTAACACGTTGGAGAAAGTAAGTATTAAAATAACAGATCAGTTTGGTCGAATAGTTAGTTTTGAAGATGGGAGGTCGGTTACGGCGGTCTTGCATATCCGCCCTAAAGTATAGCAACATACATATATATATATAAAGAAGTGTTTACCCTCGACTTAGGTTATTATAGGAAGAGACCTCAGAATGCGTATACCATTACACCCCCCCTCCCAGGGGTAGTTCGGGGAGATATTCGCACCTCTCCCTAGGAGACATGGGATGAGAGGGGGGGTGATGAATGACATACGCACATTCCAAGCACTTTATCTCAGATCTGGTGGAGGTTTCTTTGGGACCCTGGCTGGTATTGTTCGACGGGCCATACCATTTTTCATGAAAGCTGTAACACCTAGCGCCATCGATTTTGGGAAAAATGTCCTTGGTGATTTAAGCAGTGGTAAACGGAATGTAAAGAGTGCTCTGAGAACTCACGGTATTGATGCTCTTAAGAGTGTGGGAAAGAAATTGGTAATGGGGGGTAAAGTTAAAAGACTCTCTAGGCGAAAAAATAAAAATAAAAAATGTAAACGAGGTCTTGGGTATAAAAATGACTTGTTTTCGCTAACGTAAGCAGTCATACTTCAACTTTCGGAGGGGATCATGGGGGAGCCTAGCAGAGCTGGGGTGAAAATACCACTAGAATATTATAGCTCTAGTATTATTGACCAATTTCCTAGAAGTAGCAGAATACGTAATGTGGAGAGTTCAATTGCCTCTACGCAGCAAATAGACATTCTTCCTGTCAACCTCCCCATTAATCAACGTTTGCAGGATAATTACTTAGAATTCCGCATCCCTGGAACCCAGGGCGCCTTCTTAGATCTAGCTAATATTGTTATAGATTTTAAGGTATCTTTAACGAAAGATGACGATACCACAAAATTTGAAGAGGATGACTATGTGGAATTTGTGAATGGGTTGTCAAATACCATGTTTAAAGGTGTTCAGGTGTTTTTAGGAGAGCAGGTAGTTGAAACAAATACTAATTTTAAGCGGGCTTATCATCGCAAAAATTCGGAAAAATCGAATCTTTTTGAAAAATTTATAAAAATACTACAACGTTCTGGCAACACTTTGGCGCAAACCCGAGAATGTTATGATATAAATTAAAGTATTTATGGTACATTTCCATGCGTAATTGTGCAGAATCCGGTGCCCTGCGGCTGTGGCGCGCCAAGAGTATTGTGTCATACGTTCTAAACGTCAATTTTTTCGTAATAACGTCGGAAATAACTCTGTATATATGACAACAAATATACACTCAATGGCAACCGTCTCCTAGTGCGGGTATGTGAGACAACCAGCTACCAGTCACATGTTGTGTCCTGTTGAGAGTGGAGGGTGTTGATGCGCGCTCCATTTTTGCTCCTGGAATCTCGCTTTTGTAGCGTCTAGCGCACAATGACCTATAAACGGAAGGGTCTGAATGCAAGAGTAGCCAATTTGACACGCGGTCGCTGTCGTTGGCTGGAAAGGAGAGACGCTGTAGCACAAGGGAGGTTATTATCAAGTGAAGCCCTCCCCGCCTCAACTGTGAGAGGCATGACATAGCAGCCACACCCCGCTTCGACCCTCCTCACACATCCTCAACCCCTCTATGTGTATGGACCGGCCACGACAGTGCCATCTACATCTGGTGTGGCAGTGCCATCTACATCTACTGCTGTGGCTGGTGTGGCAGTGCCGTCTACATCTGGAGTGGCAGTGCCATCTACATCTAGTGTGGCAGTGCCATCTACATCTGGTGTGGCAGTGCCATCTACATCTACTGCTGTGGCTGGTGTGGCAGTGCCGTCTACATCTGGTGTAAGTCATACAAGTCGAAGTCTGGTAATATGTATGTGCAGGATATATATATGTACATATTTTTTTTTTTTTTCTATTTTTTTTCGTTTGTTATCAGGGGATGTGCATGGAACTTGCACACCTTGCTCAATGGATGCCTATCTGCAAGGGTGCCAGTTATGAACGAAATCGGTCGATGACACACTCGACTACAGGTGGCCGAACTTTGATCTTATTTTACTCAGGTAAGTAATTTACAACTTCAAGGTGTTTCTCAGCTTTCATTTATTAATCAATTTACATGCAAATTACACCTTATATATAGAGTTTGTGCTTCTACAAACCTATTGAGACATTTTAGTCCAAAGTCTATTTGTTGATTTTATAAAAATTTATAAACATCAAATATTGCATATTTTTGGAAGGGTAACTTTGAATAATTATATTATTGCACTAAACACTTTTTTTGATAAAACTGCTCAATAGAATCCTTTATTATGTGCTAAATTTAATATCTGATTGTTATAGAAATATTTCTGTTGACACATGTGTTCCCTGAAATTATTTGAAAATGTTGAAAATTCGTTGCATAATACGTTTTGTATTTTTTTTCTCCTTTTCTGTTTAGGGTGTGATGCTGAAACTTGGACCAGTTGCAGCTCTTTCTATAACCATTTAATAAATAAATTTATAAACAAATTGAACAATTTTTACGAAACCCGTAATATGCCCCCTTAATTATTGGTCGTTTATTAAATTAATTACCTCCATGCCTCCATCAAAAATGTCTTCCTTGGGGAGAATTGGAGGCTTTCGCAGGGACTGGCGAGATGACGATGGTATAATCACTAATGAGTTTACAAATACTTATTTTACTGGAGGAACTGCCATGGATAAAAAATTTATGGGTGATTTAAAAAGTAAAGGTTTGTCGGTGTGTTTCCCCCTCCTATTGGATATATCATCCCTAGACCAATACATATTAGATAATATAGATGTGCGACTAAGATTGGAGCTCTCTTCCCATGCTTGGGTCCTAAATACAAGCGTGGACGATGGCTCTAAGTATCGCCTGCATATGGATTATGCTAAATTATGGGTGACGTGGGTGTTCCCTACCCAAGTGCTTACCTAGCCTTAAACAGCTCACTGTTAGCATCCCCTGACCCCATAACCTATACTTTCAATAGAACCATTACTAAAACATATGTCCTAGCAGGGAATCAAACTAGTCTCTTAATTGATCAACCATGGGCGCAAGTAATTCCACACAAGATATACATGATAATCGTTCCAATGAATTATTTCGCTGGTCTTCACCAAGGTAATGGATTATATTTTGAAAATGCAAAGCTGAAAAGTATTGCTATGTATTTGAACAATAATGCAATTTACCGAATTGGCGGCGATTTCGATAACCATTATTCCTGCCTTTATTACGAAACTTTGAAGACATTAGGCTTAGAGCGTGATTCACTACTGGCCTATGACTCTTTTAATAAGGGAAGATCAATATTCGCCTTTGACTTAACCACCATTCAAACGAAGGATTCCCTCCCTGTGGAGAAATCTGGCAACTTGCGTATGGAGCTTGAATTTGGTGGTGGTGTTACATATAACAGACTGGTTTTACTGTTTGGGGAAACGATTGGGGTACTAGCCATCGATGGGCAAAGAACTGTTCTATGCGACGTACGAGCGTAAAAAAACATAATGAATTGTTATGATATAAATATTAATTTAAAAAATAATCTAGGGGATTGAGCACTCTACCTAGGTTGTTATAATGCTGATGAGATAGAACATTTAAATCCCTCTTCAAGAAAACCTATTGTTTTCATAACTAATATTTTACCATCGCACAGCAGAATCACTATGGGACATTGGTTAGGAATTTATGTTGATAAAGTTAAACATCGGATGTTTTTTTTTTTTGATAGTTATGCAATATCACCGTTTACTTACGGGCATCATTTTCAAGGATTTATTAAAACTAACAAAATAAGAAAGGTGTTTGGAATGCGCTACAGACTCCAGAGTGATTTTACTCTTGCCTGTGGTCTCTATTGCGTCATATTTGTTCATAGAATAAGTCACCTGGGGTTGCCTTCAACAGTACATTACTTACATAATGTATTTTCAAGCATTACTTTAAAATTAAACGATAAACGTGCCCTCACTTATGCGAGACGATATTTTCCTATAAAACATCATTGTGTTAGGACATTTTGTAGAGGTATAGGAGTTGGTTCTTATAGGTGGTGTAGAGAATATTTTTGTTAGCTAGGCAACCTACCTAACAAGGGGGGTTGCCTCCTATAAAAACCCCTCTACCCCACTCATTCCCCTCAGAAGACTGTCTTCCTCCTACGAAATGGAAGGTGTCTCGCAAAAAACACCTGCGGGGAAGAGTGAAGTCCTTGAAGGACCTGGTTAGTATTACCCTCTCTTTCTTCTAATAGATTTATTTTATGTTTATTTCCCTCAATAAAAAAAGTTTGTATATCCTCTATTTCACCTCTTATGTTTTTCTCCAGTGCAGTTCTTGGGACCCGTCCACATTTGTAGAGTAGTAATTCTACATGGGGGGTCTGCCCCAAACAAGATGCTGTTACGTAGTCTAATTGACGATGCCTGCTGTAGAGAACACATGGCCGCTCCTGCAGGGGAAAAGGTATGTACTAGTTGTTCCTAGAGAAAAATAGAATATTTTTCTAATAAAATATATAATCCTATAAAAAACCTTTAATCACTAAAAATTATTTCCCTCATCTCTTTCCAGAACACTCCCGATGAGAGAGAGGAGGAAACTCAGCCTAAAGGTGTCCATCCAACTCACCCCACCCCCCAAGAGAGGGGGGGGGATGGGGCTCAAGACCTTCCCCCACTCTTCACTGACGAAGAGACTTCAGAATTCTACTCAGACGAGGATGGAGGGGGGACGCGGGATAAGGGGGGGGGGGTGGAAGCTGTAGTAAGTGAAATATTTCAGGAGCACACTGTAAACTACAATTATTAACTAACATAATTACTTATACATTTTGTGGTTTTTACATAATAAAGCATTTAATAAATTATTTGATATTTTTTTTTAACCTTGGGGGGGTGGGTTATTTATAATTTAATACTCCTTAAATACTCCTATGTAAGGGAGGGGCCACTCAGACTTGTTCGAATATATATATCCTTAATAAGTCCTATATAATGACTTAGTGTTTAAACGGAGATACCCAGAGTAAGTGAAATATGGTTGGGGTTCACCGTAGACTACAATTTGAGGTGGGTCTATCTGTCACCCCGCCTCTGATTCCATTGTCTGATAAGTACCCCCCATTGTTTGTTAAGTGCGCCTATCTGGCACGGAATATACTACTTGTGTGTGTGCGTCATAGATCATCATCTATGACGATGATGACCGGAAAGAGAGGCGTCATAAGTAAAATTACTGGACGACAGAGCCAGAGTGCATGGTGGGGGGTAGTGGAATTGTGTGAAGCCCTGACTCGGCTTCAGTGGAAGCGTCGGGAATCCCCGAGGGTGAAGTAGTACTACAGGTTGCAATTCTTTTGAACGTGTCGTGGAGTACTCGTCTAAACCATGCATTTGGAAATTCCCAGTGCATAGGTTCGAAACTTTATCACGGCTACTGTAGATTTTCTGAGAGGAACAGGTGATGGAATAGTTGTATAAATGTAGAATATTGTGATAGCAGATGGACTCTCCAACTTGCTGACACGATGTGTACGTGTTTGGTAGCTAAGCTGAGCTTTGCTTTCTCTTGTAAGGTGGGTGACGAAGAAGGGAATTATCAGGGGACAGTGCTAAGCTATTTTAACTGTATAGCAGTGTTTCTAAGGTTCAACAGCAAGGGCTCAAGACTGTTCAACACTCTCTAAACATAAGGATGCACAACTGGCCGACATCTCTTGCTGTTCAAGAGAGAGAGAGAGAACTTGATAAACACCTCCAAAAGGATACCTTATCAACGAGCAGCTGCGTCCAACAGCCTGGTCAGAGACCGGGTTGCGGGTGCGTTGATCTCGGAACCACCACTACCACATGGTGACCACAGAATGTGCCAGTGCTGAGCTAAATACCTCATAGCATGTATGTATACACGTTCAGATACTTGCATGGGGTTTTTTTCTGGTCAGCATTTTATCTTAGAACTCCCCCTTCTTTTGCCCCCCCCCACCATCCCCTCCCTCCAGCCCATCTTGTCCACCTTCCCCCTCCACCTTCCCCCCCCCCCCCCCCCTCCCACCCAACCGCCTCCTCTCCCCAGATACCGGTCAGCGACCTACCAACGCTTTACTACATTTTACAGTTCAGCCAAGGCAAAAATATTTGTCTGGAGGCGAGATTCCTTTTGTACCGACTCCTGGCGGGGGATTGGATGGTTGTGGGTGTGAGTGAGAAGGTCGGGTGAGGGGTAGTCGAGGCAAGAGGTCGGAGAGGAGTCGGGTCAGGGAGGCGTCGGGTCGAGAAAGCGTCGGGTCAGGGAGGCGTTGGGTCAGGGAAGCGTCGAGTCGGGGAGGCGACGGGTCGGGAAGGCGTCGGGTCAGGGAGGTGTCGGGTCAGGGAGGCGTCGGTTCGGTGAGACATCGGGTCAGGGAGGCGTCGGATCAGGATGGAGTCGGGTCGGGGAAGCGTCGGGTCGGGGACGTGTCGTGTTAGGGAGGCGTCGGGTCAGGATGGCGTCGGGTCGGGGAGGCGTCGTTTCAGGATGGCGTCGGGTCGGGGAGGCGTCGGGTCGGGTCGAGGAAGCGAGAGAGGGTAATTCCCACGCCAGGAACAGACCTTAGCACCATTCGCAATGAGCGCCATTTTATGAACCACAGAACCATCGAAGAGGTGCCAAAGGTATTAAAACAAGGCAGCAGGCATCAGTAAAATATACAAATTAGTATTAACTAACAATCCCCAACATGGAGAATACATCACCTACGCTGATGATGTTGCTCAAATAATATCCCAACCAGGACCATTAAAGTCTATACTGGCCAACAAAACTAAGGCACAATTTTTGGACGGTATTGCAAATACCGTTTGAAAGGGGGATTTTATCAGCTGAGCTCAACTAGATGATTTATTGAACGAAAACACAGATTTAAACCCATTTAAGCATTCCAGTCAATCTCTCTGTAGAAATATAAGTCCAGACAATACATTCTAGAGATAGCCAGCCAAAAAGAAAGAAAACTTCCCCTATGAAGAAATAAAATTTTGAACATAACAATTTTGAGCATAATCCGAGATAAGAATTCTAAGGGGTAAAACATGGGTACACGGGCTGTTACAGTGAAGTCAGAAATGACAATTACAGTGTTAGAGTAGCGAACACTGTAATGTACCAGAGGGAGAGAGAGAGAAGCAATTATTATAACAAATAGATTCAGAAAATGATGCAACTAGAAGCAGGAAGGTCGTGGACCACCGCAACACATTACTGAAGGTCTGCAACACACTACTGAAGGTAGACAACAACTGAAGGCAAACACGGTAAATACGGGGTTACTCCTGCTCGGGAAGGTACAGAAATAATATTACGAAACATCACTGTTCCTACGAATATCAGTTGACTCTTAATTAATTCGCTTAAGAAAACTTACTGCGATCCACAACTCCATCAGGAAGATGGCGTGGCTTCTTATTTGCTTGGTCCACTTCCCTCTTTCACTCTTACCTC